ACATAGTTAACTAACAAAGGTCATTAAAATCATTTTTTATAAAGTTTTTACTGGTAATTTTTCATTAAAAGTATAATCTAAAAAATGTTTAGAAAAAGGAAGCTCGTAATGCATGACCTTATCTCTAAAAAATTGATAATATGAGATTATTTTCTTCACTTGTTGTCAATCTATACTCTTATAATGAAAATTATTTCTTGTTCTGCTTCAGTTTATTTTAAGTATTAAGTTTCCTCTTAATTTTTCAGCAAATTTATTAGTTAAAAATATGAAAGTAAAAATTATCTTTCTTCCATCTCGCGCTCCCAATCATTATGGGAGTACCTATTTACAATTATAAAGCCTGAAAAAAGCAGGTCTGCGATGTTATCGTTCCGCGATAATTGTCGATATTTTATTTTTTACCACGATATTTCGACGACGATGTTTTAAACTTCGAAATTTTGAACGATTTCTTTTGGACGACGATATTTGTACCCGATGTTTTAGAAATGCGATGTTTACTCTTGCGTGTTTTCTCCCACGATGTTTTGTAGCACGACGTTTTTCGCCTTGCGTTGTTTTCTCCTCGACGTTTTCGCCCGCGATGATTTGGCCGCGATGTTATCGGCGGACACCATATTTTGAGTTTTTATGTATTTTTGCCTTGTCGCTAAGTGAAAACGGAATTAATTGAATGAGAAAATACTCAATCCTCTGTGAAAAACTGTTTCTTTTTTGTTTTGTTTGCTTAATTTCTTTTATACATCGCTCTAGCAATTAATTCAATCAATTCAATTAATTCCGTTCACATGCAATCAAATTTGATTTCTATGTACACATATTCTTCCTGTAAATATATTACCACAATAATCTATCACCTATTAACGGAATTTCCTTCTAACGGAATTAATTGAATGAGAAATACTCAATCGTCTGTGAAAAACTGTTTCTTTTTTGTTTTGTTTGCTTAATTTCTTTTTAAATCGCTCTAGCTTTATAGTATTGAATAGAACATGTGGCACGATTAGATAATTCTTTAAATGATATAAATTTTGTTTCTGAGTTATATATTGAACGAAAATAATAATGTTAATTAAACCTAGCGCCAGATGTCGCTATGGTAAACAAAGGAATTTTAAAGAATGCATTTATTCTATTGTGGTTTATGCGCTGTCGGCGAAGGGTTTAATTCAATCTAATAAGTTTAAATAAATGCAGAAAAAAATGCGTATAATTAATATTCCGTACAAGGAAGTCATGTGGTGTACACATCAATTTTTTATGTTTTAGAAATAAAGTAGTAAAAATGCACCTGACTTACATTAAGGTGGATTGCCTGTTCTATAGTGAATTAACTAAGGTGGATTGCTGTTCTAAGTGAATTAACTAGGTGGATTGCCTGTTTTACGGTGAATTAATTAGGTGGATTGCCCGTATACTAATTATAATTCTCTTTACGTTTCTTTTAAAAGTAGTACCGACTGAATGACAAAATTCAGGTAGAGTCTCGTATATAGGACGTATGAGTGATACTAAAGGTACGTTATTTTGAATACCTATTACTCTGAAAAATGGAATTACTGTTAAAAAACGCTCCTATAAGAGCTAAACTTCACAAAATGTTTTAATGGTTTGATGATTTATTAAAGGCAGATAATGTTAAAGAACAGAGCATAGATCTAACTTGCTAATTTACGTAGAATTGATTGTCAGCTAACTGAAATAGATCAGGAAATAAGCTCTTTATTATTAGAGATACAGACGATTAAAAAGTATCAGAACGAGTACGCGTAATAGAGAATATAATGAAAATTTCGTAAGCGGAGTAAACGTAGAATATATTTAAATAGAATTCTAAAACCAAAAGTTCTGTTGATACTTCTCCCGTTCAAAAACGAAAGTTAAAGTTACCAGAGATCAAAATTTTGAAATTTGACGGGGAAATCAAAGATTGGCTTGCCTTTTGGAGCCAATTCAAAAGAATACATGACGATGAAAGTGTTGTGAAAGAAGATAAATTTCAATATTTAATTCAATGCATGAATGAAGGCTCTAGAGCTCGCGATATTGTCGATAGTTACCTACCGACATATGAAAATTATGATAAAGCTATTGCATATTTAAAATCAAGATCCGGAAGGGAGGAATTACTAATTGAATTTTATATACGTGAAATTTTAAATCTTGTTGTAAGAAATGTTACCGAAGAAAAAAGAAAGTTAGACATGTCGAAATTATATGAGTGAGTGAGTGGCGTTTTCGGCGCAAAACCAAAGATGATTATGACGCGCCAAACACAAGGTGTCGAAATTATATGATAAATTAGAATCGTATCTAAGAGCGTTGGAGTCCATAGGCTTAACATCCGATACATATTCAGTTATACTTTCCCTCTGTAGAATCGTGTATTCCGGAAGACATTTTTAGAGTTTGGTTAAGAAACCGTATAGTTAACACCAGATTTGATTGTTCTGAAGAAAAGGGTTATGGGAAGAAATTAAAAAAATTTATTATTGTTCCTGAAAGCTGAAGTTGAAGGGGAAGAACGTATTCGTTTAGCAAAGGGATTTGTTAGTAAGGAACACAAATTTCAAAAGGAAAAAATACATCGTTCTGTTCCTAGTAATCCACCGACGGCAGCCGATTTGTTTGCGGGAACAACAGAGAATAAAAGAAAAAATGTTTGTATATTTTGTGATAAATAGCACGAAAGTACAGATTGCTTTTCGGCATGTAAACTCAAAAAAAAAAAAAAAAAAAAAAAAAAAAAAAAAAAAAAAAAAAAAAAAAAAAAAAACATGAAATTTAAAAAAAAAACAAAAAGGCTGTTTTGGCTGTTTAAAAATTGGACATCGTTCTAAATTTTGCAAGTCCAACATCAAATGTGTCCTTTGAAGTAAAAAACATTCGATTTGATGTGCCCAGATCTCCCTGGAAATAAGATGAAAGATGACGTACAGGAACTTGAGAAGACGTTGTCGTCTGATGTTAGTTCGTCTAACTTATGCACTTCTGATGAAATATTGCTTCAAACATTACAAGTGAAACTGAACACTAAAGGGAAAGAGCTACAAGTACGTGTACTTATTGACAATGGCTCACAACATTCTTACATTCTTAAAGAAACAGCTAAGAAACTAGGTTTGAAGCTTACAGAAAAGAGAATCTTAATTCACTCTCTATTTGGGGGAATTACAACTGAGAAAAGGGAGCATTATGTTTATTACGTTAACCTGATATCTTTGAAAGGGGACTTCTCCTGAAACATAAAGGTTCTGGATCAGCAGATTATTTGTGGCAACATTCCTCGGTTGAGAAGAGACCTTTATAAAGAAAAGTTAAGAGAAAGTAAAATTTGGCTCACTGACTATGGAGAAGGTTGTCCTGATATTGATCTGTTAATAGGTGCAGATTATTGTGGTAATATATTTACAGGAAGAATATGTGTACATAGAAATCAAATTTGATTGCATGTGAAACTTATTTAGGATGGATTATCATGGGAAACATATCCGAAGAAAGGTTTGACGAAACTTCATCCCACTTAGTGACATCTTTGCTGATTAAAAATTATTCTGTGGCTGATTTGTGGAAATTAGATACTATAGGTATAAAGGATCCTACTGAAACAAGAACTAAAGAAGAAACGGAACAGTCCATTCTTCAGTATTTTCGAAAAACCGTTCAGAGAAGATGAAAATGGTCGTTACATCGTCAAACTACCTTGGTTAGAGACGTACGAGACGTTAAGTGAAAACAAAGATATAGCTGAAAAAAGATGCATAACTACTACTCAGAAACTTCTTAAAGAAGGAAAATACGATGACTATGAAGCTGTATTTAAGGAATGGTTACACGAAACTATCATCGAAGAAGTACCAGATAGTGAATTGGAAAATCCTTGTCATTATTTGCCTTATAGAGGTATTTTTAAAGGAAATTCTACAACGAAGGTACGCCCTGTGCTTGATGCTTCGTGTAGAAGTAAGAACTCACTTTCACTCAACGACTGTCTAGAAACAGGACCAAATCTTATCGAAAAAATTCCTCCTTTTCTTATGAGATTTCATCAGAAAGAAATTGGTGTAGTTTCGGATATAAAAAAGGCCTTTTTACAGATAGCTGTGGCCAAAGAAGACCAAGATTTTCTTAGATTCATATGGTGGGAAGATTATAAGGAAAGAAAACAAAAATTTTATCGTCACCGACGAGTAGTGTTTGGACTTACGAGCAGCCCTTTCTTACTAGCTGCCGTTCTAGATTACCATTTGAAACAAAATGAAAGCCATTTTTCTGAAACTGTAGAAAAGCTGAGGAATGCATGCTATGTGGATAACTACATAACTTAGGTAACTAGTCAAGATGAACTTAAAAAATTCATTTTTGAAGCAAAACAGATTCTGGCTACGGGTTGTTTCGATTTAAGAGGTTGGGAACATTCCAGTCTAACAGGTGAAGAATGTCAAAAAAAAAAAAAAAAAAAAAAAAAAAAAAAAAAAAAAAAAAAAAAAAAAAAAAAAAAAAAAAAAAAAAAAAAAAAACTTATCCCTGTTTTTGGATTCTTATGGGATAAAACTAAAGATGTTCTGTTGTTCTGTTTTGTGACCTTGAGACAAAATTGGTTTCAAGCAAAAACCCATTACTAGAAGATATATTCTTTCGATAGTTCAGCAGCATCTTCGATCCTATAAGAATTCTGTGTCCAGTCGCGATTCGTTTGAAACTGTTAATACGGAATAGCTGGAACCTGAAGATTGGTTGGAATGAAACCTGTCCAGAAGATATTCGCCTTGGAGTTCAATAAATGGCTTGAAGATTTACATCTGTTAACAGAGATCAAAATTCCAAGATATGTCCAAAGCAATGTCCAGGAAAGAAAATTGAGTTTTCATACTTTTTGTGATTGCGAGCAAGTCCGCCTATAGCGCAATCGTATTTCTACGAAGCGAATGTGAGAAAGGGGTAAAGTTCATTTGATTTAAGCTAAAAGTAGAGTGGCTCCTTTAACAAAGATAACGATGCCTCGATTAGAATTGTTAGCATGTTTGATCGGAGCTCGTCTCACTGCAACAGTGAAAGAAGCGAAGGATTTAAAGGGTATATCAAGTACCTGTTGGACTGAATCCTCTACCGTTATGTTCTTGATCAAGCGTGAAGATAACTGGGGAACATTTGTACATAATCGAGTGAAGGAGATAAGAAATTTAACATTAAAGGAACAATGGAAGCATATTCCAGGAAGCGACAATCTGGCTGATCTCCCATCCAGAGGATGTTCCGCTGGAGTTCTGCTCAGATCTAAATGGTGGGAGGGTCCACCGTGGCTTAAACAGCCTGAAGAAAATTGGCTTAAACAGCCTGAGGAAAATTGGCCCGTCTCTGAAATTAAATTAAATATGGAAGACGTTTCTAAAGAAAGAAAAAAGGGAATAACTGCCTTAGCTACCTCAGTTGCTCCTAACGAAAAATGGTACTTGCATCGTTTTTCTAAATATTCGAGAATCATTCGGCTGATAACTTGGATTCTTCGATTCGTTCATAATTCTAGTAATTCCGATCACAAACTGAAGGAAGAATTATCTATTCAGGAAACTGAAGCAGCTGAGAAAAGGCTTTTCTTAATTGTTCAGAAAGAATCTTCCAAAACGAATCTACAAAATCAAAGTTGAAAACTCTTTGCATTTTCACTGATAAAGAAGGCTTAATGAGACTGAAGACAAAAAAATCCTTCGAATACATGATACAGATTATTTCGTTTGTCCTATACTTTTACCTTCTGATCATCAAATTGTAGAAAAATTAATTTTCGAAAGACATACAGTACTTCCACACGCTGGAGTTCAAATTGTTTTGATGGATATTCGTCAACGGTTTTTACCTAAACAAAACCAATTTAACATTCCTGCTTGTAAAGAAATTAACTTTAAACCTCCTGATAAGATAATTAAAACTAGATGTGGTAAAACTATTGTAAAACCTTCGCGTTTTAATTAGTTTTTTTTCCTCTTATGATTATACTAAGCATTGTTTAGTCTCGTTATTAAGTATATTGTATTTTGATTTATGTTGCGCCCACCATAAATCAAAAAGTGGGAGGAGATGTCGCGAGCAACTCAACGATTGTATAAATGCAATTTCTTTAAAGGTTAAATTTTTACGGTTTGGCAACATTGTATCGTTTTTTATGTTTTAGGAAATAAAGTAAAAATGCACCATGACTTTGCATTAAGGTGGATTGCCTGTTTTATAGTGAATTAATTAAGGTGGATTGCCTGTTTTACGGTGAATTAATTAGGTGGATTGCCCGTATTACTCAATTATAATTTCTCTTTACGTTTCTTTTAATGGAGTAGCGACTGAATGAACAAAATTCAGGTAGAGTCTCGTAACACAGTACTTGAAGTAGCGTACATTACTAAACAATATATACTTATTTGTTTTAGCATTTTATTAACTATAGTACATTTTATAATACCATTTATAATTTTAAATTTACTATGTATTAAAAATGTAATTTTTCTTCTTTCATTTATTGCTTAAATCTTAACATATAGTTCTAATTTTTCTATTGCTCTTCGGCTTCAGAGAAGAACTTTCACCTTTCTATGACCATTCAAGTTTGACCTTTAAATATAAATTATAACTGAATTTTTATTATGGACTGCTTTAATATGAAATACTTTATCGAGATGAGCTTAAAATTATACTGATTTCCCGAAACGTTAATATATTTTTTTAAACAGTTTATTCATATGTATTCCCCTCATTTTATTTTAAATATGCGCATAGGTAATAAATTAAAATATTAATTTTGTAACATAAGATGTGGTTTCTGATGATAAATTAAATATGGTATTATGTTCCAGGAAATATAAAATTACTTCTGAATTTTACTAAAGTTTTGATTGCAGTAATGTGATTCTGATTAAAGAAATTTTCAGATTTTAATTATGCTCAGTTTGAGAAGAGGGAACTTGAATATGTTTTACAGGCCTTCTATTTTTAATTTCTCTTACACGTAATTAAAATAGGGCAGGATTTGGAAAAAAATTGGTTTTGCTGAAATTTTCTGATGAATGAATTCCATCGAAATTAATATGATTACAGTCGTAACAAATTATCTCCAAATAATCAGACTAGAAATAGAAATTCATATGCAAATTTGACTTTTCCTTTGCAGCTAAGACCACTTATGATGAAATTTGGTACATCGAGCTATACACTTTGTTTTAGTTTTGCAGTAAATCTACAAATTTAACTAATGTATGTATAAAAATAGTACATTGTACATATCTAAGTATTCCTAGATTTAATGTTTTCTTGGAAGTGTAAGGCTCTCTAACTAGAATTAACCTAAAGAAGCACAGTGTAATGTTACACAGACTTTTTGTTTGATCTCTCCTTGTGAGATACGATGGAAGAGATAACTTATAAAATTAAGAATCGTTTACTTAACGATAATAATTAGCAAGAATTAGGTGACCTAAATTGAAATTTAAAAATATCAAATTGAAATTCTCTTAAAGATACGTGGTTTTATGTTTAACTAATCATTATAGAATGGGCATTTATCAGTTTGGAATGGCAGTGGGACCGGTCGAGGCTTTATACTGGTTTGTACAAATTTTTTTACAGAGCAGGAAGATGGATCAGCGCTAACAGTTACAAACAAGGAAGCAGTTTTTCGTAAAGCAGGAAGATGGATCAGCGCTAACAGTTACAAACAAGGAAGCAGTTTTTCGTGCAACAGTTTATGAGCCGCAGTTTACTTCTGCTAACTTTAAAACTCTTTTGTGCATGATTTATCTTACATAATATTTTTGTCTTCTGGAATATATCGGATGAGAATCAAAAGAAAGAGAGTTGCGCTGTCTGACAGTTTATGTGATTTTCCTCCGGTTTCGAAAAGTACGAGCACATTTCTCTCAAAATATTATCATTCATGTGACGTTTTGTGACTACCAGCTGTTTAAAATAACTTACCTAAGTATTAAACACTGAAAGAAAGATACCTGCCTCCCACTCACTATGGAAACAATTGCAGATAGTATATTTTCGTTTAACTATGAATCCTAAAGCTGTCAAACTATGGTGTTTTCCTAAATATGGGTAAATTTGTTAGTGATGAAAAAGGAAAAGGAGATTTGAATGTTGCTAGTACTGAATGTCTCGTTGTGTAGTAAAGACTTTGTAAAGTTCTTTACAAATTCATTCTTCCAAAGGCAGATAAGCTTGCTAGTACTTTCATGTTAGCTACCTCCCGTTTTATTCATTCTAAACTGGAACCAATATTTTACGTAATCGCCTCGGATATAATTTTAAAATACAAAATATATTACTTATTTTACGGGAACCAGCTCTTAAATATTATGATTAGGCGCAAAGGCACACAGTTGAGAAATAAAAGAGATAAGTATAATTTACATAAGTAAGATAAATAAAATATAAAATAGAAATTGAAATAAACGTGAATACAAAGATAATAAAATAAGTTAAGAAATCATAATAATTCAAAATACTGAGTAACAGTGCATAATAACAAGTAAATATTCTTTTTTAATTCATTAATAACTTCCTCATTTCTGGTTAATATTTCCCAAATAAAAACTGAAATAAACGATATGACAATAGACATTTAAAAAAATGTAAGCATAGCAATTTCTTAAGTTTTGAAACTAAAAAATAAGAAAAGGAAACAAAATGAAAATAAATAACACCAGATTAAAAATAGAAATAATTTATCATTTTTAAGGTCCAACTAACTCATTTCAGGGCGACAGAAGTTTTAAAAATTAATCCAAGAGGGAAGGCCTTTCTCTGAGATACGATAACAAAATTGTTTCGGCGTCTATGATTTTTCCCCCAACCAACAAGGAGTTTTTATTAATCTTGAAAAGATATTTATGAAAAGTTTTCCCTCCAGGGAACATAAATATCGTGTTACTTATTTGAAAGATAAGTTAAAATAAATTTAAAAACTACATACTTTATGGAAAAAAAAAAAAAAAAAAAAAAAAAAAAAAAAAAAAAAACACGTAATAGTGATGCTATTTTAAGGCCGTATCTCTCGAAAAAAATGTCTTTGCTTTTGAAGAGAATATTTTCTTTCAAAACGAGTTCTCAATTTTCAGGGATTGATGAAAAGAACTGTTAATTAAAGCCGCGTGAAAAATATATATTAAAAATAGTAGAAGAGTTGTTATTTCAGAAGGCAAATAATTTCTAAAAGATATAACTCTTCAACGGGAAGGAGAAAACTATTTGAGGAAAAGCATTTCTTGTGAAACATTTCTCAAAACAGCAGTGATAAAACTTTCTTATTATTTGAAGCAATAATATTCTATTAGTTTAGACCACAATATTAAATAAAAGGTAAGAAAAACACATAATTTAAGTTCATGAGTATAATTATAAATGAATTGTATGTTTTAAAAGAATTGCTTTTGACATATTATACGAATTATGCTCATATGCATGATTTAGTTTCGCAAATGTATATATTTTGTATTGTTTTGTGATATGATGCGCCTAAATCGACAAGGCATTCAAACATCAATTGTAGTAGAATGAGATAAGTGCTCCTAAGCATAGATCAGATGTGAGAGTATGACTGTTTTCTTCAACGCCATCCTAATTTGGTCAGAGACATGTCAGATAATTACAATTAATTTTCAGTTATCCCAAAGATCAAAGGCATCAGCCGCACGAAAAGATATTTATATCTTTAAATTTTAAAATTTGAAAATTTCAAATGAAACAGCGTAGAAATAAAAATGAGAATGGCGAGGGAAATTCATGCTTAACCTAAGCTAAGTACATAATATATTGTTACTGATTTAAATTTAGTTAGCTATCTTTAGTAGAAATGTAATTAAAATTGCTTTATTTCTCCGTGAAATGCAGCGCGTGACGAGTTTTAAGAGAAATCTACGCCGAAAAAGTAAAAATACAGGAGCACGCGCATTTAATAAATAGATATCTCGTAATTTATATTTAAACGGAGTAAATGTAATTGACTATTGTGTCTGCTGTGGCTGTAATTCTACTCTTTTGCATTCCAGAAATCTCGAGAAAACGGATATTACCAGAACATTCTCGTACCCGGTTAAAAAGCTTTAAAAAGCCGGAAAGAAACATCTCAGTTTAGTTGTTTACATAGTTGTTGTTGTTAACTGTAGGGAATTCGCGGTGAGATCGGATTAGCTTCCTCTGCGCTTTAGATTGCGTTCTATAACGTTTTTAGTAGCTTAAAATATACCTATGTGTCACAAGAGCCATGGAGGAACAGTTAAGATAGATCATGGCAGCCGTTGCTGTATTTAAAGGAGATGAAAGGTGGCCAGGAATCCGTTAAAGGAGAGATGAGACCCGTTCA